TCCCCCCCCCCCCCCCCCCCCCCCCCCCCCCAACCCCGCCCTCCCCCATTTGTCGCTATCCCATCACCCTTCTCCCTCTCTATCCCTCTCCCCAACCCCTACCCCTTACTCTTGCTATCCCACCACCATTATTCCTCTATAACCCCACACCATCCCTCTCGCCGCCGCCGCCACCACGCCACGCCGGGGGACGAGCAGGGCGTGGGGGGTCCACGTCTGGCTCCGCGCCCGGGGGTTAGCCTTGGAGATCGCGGACGAACCCCTGGAGGCGTGGTTCGAGGCCATGCACCCTGTCTGGTCGAGGCAGCTTGCGGCTCGGGTGTTCCGCAGGGCGCTTCTGCTGCGAAGGCGCACGGCGGCCGGCGGCCGCAGCAGTCGGAACGGTAACAGGGCGGCGGGCGCGGGAGAAGACGAGGGTGCTGATGCTGCGGAGGTGGCGGCGGCGGCAGCGGCGGAAGCAGCGGCGGTTGAACGGGAAGGGGACGAGGAGGACGCAAGGTGGGGGGGGTACTCATGGCCGTGGCCGTGCGTGGCTTAGTCGTTAGACCATTGACCTCGCGTCCCTACAAAGCCGGGGCGGAGCGCACCGGGTTTTCGCCGGACCAGGCTAGTAAATCACAAGGCGCGGGGGTGCATGCCTTAGCGGTTAGACCACGCGTTCTCGGAAGGACGGAGCATTGTTCCCACAGGACCGATCACCAATGACCAATCGTTCCTCCCTACTTTGCCAAAGGATTCTCAAAAAGATATTTTTGGTGTTCGGCTCGATATCGCTTCTCGCCTTTTTAGGTCATGCCCCAATATAACCACTAGCTGTCACTTTTGTTTCTTCCTTCTATTTTTCCCAGCGCAGTCATGTACATTTCTCTCTGTCTCAAGTCTCTATTATAGTAAAACGGACATTCTTGCAACTACATGCGGCCTTTGCACTCCGAGCCGCATTCACAGTTGAACTTGTCGTCTTCTTCGTCTACCGTCCTAAATGTTCGTGTACGTTCTCGAAGGCCAATCCTTTGGTCAATGTAGGTAAAACCCCCTGTTCCTTCTTTCAACGTTCCGTACGACTCTAGACCCTCCTCAGTCGATGTAGGTAACCCTGTTCCTACATTCAACGTTTGCGTTCTCGAAGGCCGATCCTTTGGTCAATGTAGGTAAAGCCCCCTGTTCCTTCTTTCAACGTTCCGTATGACTCTAGACCCTCCTTAGTCGATGTAGGTAACTCTGTTCCTTCCTTCATTCACCGTACCGTAACTCTAGACCCTCCGTCGTTATCCTTGGTTTATCTTGTGGTGGTGTAATCTCGAAAGGTCCTACCTGGAACACGTTCGAGACACCTTCGGCGATCACGGGCCGCCGCCGGCATTCCCGCTACCGGGGGCAGCGACAGCAACAGCAGCGAGAAAGAAGGCGGCGGCGGCGGCGTCGCCGCGGCCCGGGGTGTGGGGGTGTGAGGGGGGCGGGACATGGTCCCCTCGCCTTGTGCGGGTTCGTGTGGGGGACGTGTCTGCCGACGTTACCCCGCCTTCCGGCGGAGAGGGTCTGTGCAGAGGCTTGTTGGTGAGCGAGGGAGGAAGAGAGGGGGAGAGAGACAGAGACAGAGAGAGAGAGGGAGAGGGAGAGTGGGGGGGGGGGGGAAACCCGCCCACCCACCCCCCCCCAAACCGAAACCCAAACCAAAAGGGAAAAGGAAAAGGAGAGGGGGGGGGGGGGCCCCGCCAACCCACCAACCCCAACACCCAAAAGGACGGCAAACGGAAAGGACAAGGAAACGGAAAAGGGGGGGGGGAAACCCCCCCACCCCAAAAACCACCCAAG